ATCTTCCTGCACCACCTTGCTAGGCTGTGATCTCCTGCTGGGGTTTCTGGGTGCTGATTGACACCAAGGGAGTGACGAGTGGTCTGTGGGACGGAGCCTGGGAAACCTTCAGCGTAAGTCCCTTCTGGGGCTGCTGAAGAGCACGTGGTCCATAGAGATGTAGAGGGAAGAACTGACCGCAGGAAGTGTGGCCAGCGACTCGGCCCATCACCACCTACAGGGAAGAGGCTTCCACCTGACTCGCGCTCAGGCGCCTGCTGTGTTGCCCTGGGGTGCCTGTGGGTGCCAGAACAGTCCGTGACGCCCAGATTAATGGAGACTTTGGATCTGTTACTTCATGCGCCTTGACTTCAGTGCAAGTGGAGGGCATGGTTAGGTTCAGGAAGAGGATTGAGGTAGGTATTATTTCTGGAGCGTCTACTCGAGGGTACGGAACAGAGGGACGGAAAGAGCAGTGAGGGATCCCGGTCATAGGGCCAGCCCTACTGCCAACTGCCAGTGTGACATTAGGAGAACCACCCATCGCTCTGGCCTCCTGTAGGGTGACACCAGGCAAGTTGATTTCTGAGGTCTCTTCCAATTCTAAGACCCCGAGTCAAAATAGCAGCGGCAGTAATGGATGAAGGAAATCAAAACCAGAATTTATGGCTCTAGGCCCAGAAAAGTATTCCCTTATTCTGATTTCTACTTTCAGAAATCAGAACAAGTCATAAAGATGTATAATGAGTGAGAGATTACAGGTGTCTTCCAGGGAGTGTGTGACCTGGGAGCTCTGCCCAGTAAGGAAATTCCATCATCCAGGGAGGGCAGAATTTGTAGAAGAGATTCACAGTGGAGAACTTTTATCCAGTAGACTACTCATCATACACGCACACACATACTTCTTCTCTCAAGCTTTTATCAGTTAAAATTTATTTGACAGTGTCGGGGCGCCTGGGTGGCTCAGATGGGTGAGCATCCAACTCTTGACTTTGGCTCAGGTCATGATCTCAGGGTCCTGAGATTGAGCCCCCTGTCCAGCTCTGCTCTGAGTGTGAAGCCTGCTTCAGATTCTCTCTCTCTCCCTCTCCCTCTGCCCCTCCTGCTTGCTCTCTCTCTCAAAAAAAAAAAATTGACAGTGTCAATATGGTGATGAATCTTTCATTAGTTTATCAACTCAGGAAACAAAATGTACATGCATGTATAGAATTACCACTATGTTACTGACATTTGAGTTCTGTGAACTCACATCAGTGGACTTGGAGGATTTGTGGCTGAGCCTTAGTCCTCAACACAGTCTAAGAAATTAGCTATTTGAGAAGAGTATTTCCCAACCACTCTGACTGCGGTGTTCTGTCTAGTTAGCCTTGTATGACTTTCTCCCGCTATTCTTTTTTTTTTTTAATGATTTTATTTATTTATTTATTTATTTGACAGAGAGATAGTGAGAAAGAGAGTACAAGCAGGGGGAGTGGCAGGCAGAGGGCAGAGGGAGAAGCAGATTCCCCACTGAGCAGGGAGCCCGATGCGGGGCTCGATCCCAGGACCCCAGGATCATGACCTGAGCTGAAGGCAGCCCGCCTAACTGACCGAGCCACACAGGTGCCCCTCTCCTGCTATTCCTGATCAGACTTCTGGTCCCTGACATTGTCCAGTGTTCCCTAATCTACTAAATGGTTTTGTCCATTTTCTTCCCCCAGCTGGAAAACATGGCCCACCACAGAAACCTTCCCTTGTTGCCTTAGCCTTCTCCGCCCAGCAAGCCCTCGCCTTAGCACCTCCATTGTTACCTTTGGAGGGCCGAGGTGTGGAGACCATCTTACAGCTGAGCCCACCGATATGCCACAGCTCCGTGGACCCCCCACAACTGAATCTTGGGAATGCCTGGCAGTCCGCATGTGGTGCCTGAACAGCCTCCATTCCTCAGAGATGTGATTTCCAAAGTCTGTCACCCCGAAGTCCCCTATGGTCCCCTCCCCACCTCACTCATAGCACATTGCCTTGTCTCCTGCTCTGTAAAGAAAACAGCCCTTAGACAGGAAATCTCTCCTATTCCTGCACTCCTACCTTTTTATCTGTGCTTGCACCTTTCTTTCTTTCCTTCTGATGTGCCAACGTGAATTGCTCACCAGGTTTCTGGATTTGCATGACACTCTGGCTGGGAAACCCTGAGTCAGTGGTTTAGCTCCCTGCTGCCTCTTCCTTCCCCACTGGCTCCTTTCTCTCAGCATTTAAATGTGTTCAAACCTGTGTGTCATTTTGAAAAAACCCTGTTTTTTTTTTCCCTTCCCTGGCCAGACTTCCTGGAGGAGTTGCTTACCTCTGTGTTCGCTTGCTCACCTCCCACTCACTTACTCTTTACCCACTGCATTCTGGCTTAAATGCCCACCCCTTCCCTGAACACATCGATCCTGTTCTAGTTGTCAAGCACTGTGGACATTTTTGGGGCCCTATCTCATTTCAGCCACTTAATGTTGACTTTGTTCTTGAAATTCTTCTTCCTTGATTTTCAAGACCTCTTGCTGCTTATTCTCCCATTTCGCCGTCCTCCTCCAAGGCAGTCTCTTCTCCAGCAATATAGGGGAACCATTGCAACCCCCTGTGCTCCTCATGCTAGATACCTGCCATTTGCTCTTTCTTGAACAACCCTCACACCCTTCTCTTTCTAGCTAACTCCTACTAATCTTTCAAGATACAACTCCCCTACACTATGCCTCCAGGAAGAGACCCCAGCCTCCAGACTAGATGATATTTCCCTTTTCCGTGTACCCATAGCATCCCGGACAGACCTCTACACAGCACTAGATTGCTGTGACTTTATTTTCCAGTCTATTTGTCTTGCTCTGTTGTGTCATCTGTAAACCTCTTGACAACAAACACGTACACATAGCACCTGGCATAAAGTGTTCAACAAAATTGATCTAATGGAGTTGAATCACAGCACATAGAGGTCCTACCCTGCAGGGACCCTTCATCATGGGCTACTAAATGCATTCTCCTTTATTTTTGGCATGGCAAATGATCTGCCCCCTCCGTGACCACCTTTTCTCTTCCACTTGGACACTGGAAGATGCAGAATCTCAGTAGCTTACAAATGCTCAAGAAAGGTGCCCTCCCGTGATGAATGTAGTGGGTGGACATATGAGAGCGGTGGGTGGGTAGCTGGTGGCAAGAAGATGGCATTAAAAGCCTATGTAGACATGATCATCATATCTAAGGTCAGACAAGACACATGGATTTTGAAAAGACTATTTCGTGTGTATCATGTATTTCCTTCCTTGAGATCAGGAGCCTCGTCTTATGTTTCTTGTTATTCCTAGGCATCTGGAGGGTATTAGTTTTTCAAAGACATTCCCCTGTGTGGGAATAGGGACCTTTAAAATAGGTCTCAGGCTTCAGACTAGGCCACCTGCTCCGTTGAACCCAGGGGCACCCTCCACTTCCCTGTCATGGCCCCCATGCTTATATTCAGTACTCACGCCTATCTTCCCACCTACTATAAACCATGGTGATGTCTGTGTTACTCATGGCTGGGCCCCAGCATGTCACAGAGTGCCTGGCACCCAGAGGTGCTAAATAAATGTTTATCAATGAGCTAACTTTTATATGACACTTTATACATGTGACATACAGTATGTGTGCATATGCACATTTGTGACCTCTGTCGGGTTTGTTGGTGGGAGGTATGAAGTCCCGGGTGACTGGACTAGCTGATGAGTTAGTTTAGAAAAACAGCTAGAAATCTCTTTGACTTGGACAGTTTTCTTGACTAATTTATGGGTGTCTTCAATGACTAGAGAATACATAGACAGAGCCATTATACAAAACAGAGGGAACATAAAGATTCACAGTGGACACTGCATTTAGGTATATCAAATATTGCTTCCAGTCAGTTCCCGGCCAGGTTCAGCAGCCTCCCCAGGGGGGACCCTTGTCGTGGCACCAGCCTGAGCAACAGAACAGAGCCCCTCCATTTCAGGAAACACAGACTCTTCCCATTTCTTCTTCATTTGGATCTTCCGAACTCTCCTGGAGTTTACTAAAAGTTCCTGCGTGTTCCCCACAAACACCTAGTTCCCTAAACCTTGAGTATCTGTGAAGCTTCGTATATAACGTTGGTGCTCAACTCTCTCACAGTAATTCCGGTTCTGGGGAACTTGCAGTGCGGATTCTGAGGGAACATAAACACGTGCCTTTTCTTACGGGTCTAGTAGCAAAAGGAGGGTGAGTCCTGGGGCCCAGAGAGCCATCATTTATGGACGACAGAAGACAGGAAACTGTCTGCGGCATGATTACACGCGTTGAACGGCTTCATCTCCACCAACCTGGACCGCAACCATTCTCACCCCATTTCAGAGTCTCACCACGGCACGCAAAGCCCCGTGGGATGGGCTGGCCACGCCAGCCTTTCCAAATTCATCTCCCGTCACCCTCCTTTCCCTTTTCCTGGGTCCAAGCACAGGGGCCCCCTTGCCTTGCCAGGCATGCTCCTGCTTTAGGGGGCCTCGGAATTTGCTCTCCCCTGCTGTTGTCAGGGCTCACTTAGATGAAGCCTTCCCTGGTCACCCGATCTAAAATAGCAGCCCCTTTACTCTCTAGTCCCTTATCCTGTTTTATTTGTCATCATGGGATTTATCATACCTGATGTTGGATCATACACACACATACGTGTGTGTGCATATATACGTGTATATGCGTGTGCATATACACACATGTACCTCTATCCTCTACATATGGGGACACGTCTATCTTGTTCGCTCTTCTCTCGTTCGCTGTTGTGCCCCAGCGCCCACCGCACACAGGAGCTGGATTAATGCGGAGTGAATGCTTGTATTTCAGAGAACGCTGCACCACCAGCGAGTGCCGTCACCCCTAGGTGCATGTGCCTGCCCTGGGGTTCTTGGGAGGGCCGGCTTGTTTGACGGAGCTCCTGTGGTCCCCTACCACCGGGCCTGTCTCATCATGTCCCTCTGCCGGTGCCTGGGCCCCGCCCTGGGAATGACCGCCTCTGCTGATCCCTTCTCACCCAGGTGAGCGTGAGGCGCCAGCAGATCTCCCAGATTGTGGAGGACGTGCAGAGGGTCGTCCACCAGCTGACCACAGAAATCAGCCACCAAGACATTCGATTCCAGGCCGTCCCTTACTCTGACACGTACAATGGGAACATTAAGGTAAGCAGGGCTCACCTGTTCTGTAAGGTGTGTGGGTGGGTGGGTCTCAGTGTGCCCCAGGCATCACCCGACTGAGGGTACCAATAACCCTTCATGTTCCACAGGTCCTCTTAGTATTTACCACTTACACCCTCGCTCCAGAGGTGCTGTGTCATGTGAGCCCCCACGGTCCTACTTTATGGATGATAGAACGGAGGCTTCGAGAAGCCACATGTCCTGATCACGTCCTGTTTGGCACAACAGCCAGAACTGAGCCCGGGGCTTCGGACTCCAAGCACGCTGTGCTGTAACAACTGAAGTTTAGTTGAGCACGCATTCATGTATGCAGCAGCTGCTTAATAGACTGGGGACTGGGGACAGGAGCTCAGGGAGGGCATTGGCGAGAAAAGGGTTGGAAGCGAGAGTCTATGGGCTGCAGGTGCGGGAAGGAAGATGGGGAAGAGGTGGCCCTTAGAAAGTGCAGGGGCAGCCTCGCCACCCCTGTCCCCGCTGCAGACAGGACTCTAAGCCACCAGGGCTCATGCACGACAGCCAGCCTTCCTGCACCAGCGTTGTGTGAGCTGAGCCATCCTCACAGAAACGGCCTCCCTCACACCTGCAGACAACCCTGAGGAACAGACATGGCTCGTTGCCTTTCAGAGATGAGGCGAGTGGGGCTCTGAGCCCTTCTGAGTCCCCATGCTCCTTTATCTCGATTTTTCTTATGGCACCTAAGAACCGCTTTCACTTGTATTAGATATATATGTATCCGTGCCCTATCTCTCACACAAGACTACAAGCTCCTTGATTGTAAAGATCATGTTTATTGATCGCTTCATTGCTAGCACCCAGCATGGTGTGTGGCCCATGCAGACGCTCAGCTTCAGGGAATTGATGAATAAGTAAAAGAAATAAGTGCCTGGACTGAAGACCCTTGCTGGTCCAGAACATTCCAAGGTTGTTGGGCACAAGGACCATCCACAAGAATCTGGGACCTGTACATCTGGGGACAGAGGACAGATTTTGGGAAATTCACCCCAGGATGAAAATTCTAAAAGTAGATTCGATCCCCACATACCACAACATCGTTTGCCCACTTCTATCGCCCTTCTAACCTGCATTAGGCCAATAGAGACTAGTGACTAGGAGTAGAAACACAATACCACTTTTTTTAAAAAAAAAGGTTTTATTTATTTATTTACTTATTTGAGAGAGAGAGAGAGAGAGCACGAACAGGGGGATTTGCAGAGACAGAGGGAGAAGCAAACTTCCCGCTGAGCAGGGAACCTGATGCAGGGCTTGATCCCAGGACCCTGGGATCATGATCTGAGCTGAAGGCAGACACTTAACCGACTTAGCCACACACAACACCACTTTTCCTAGAATTATATCCAAAGAAATTTCCTTCTGTGGTCTCACTTAGAATTCAGAGGTTAAAATATATCTTGCATTTATATACATCCTGTCCTGCATATTAAGTTTTGAAAATAGTTGGAGTGGGGTGTATAAAAATTGCTTTTATTTTATCTTGGATCAAATCCAGCAAGTATTAACTAAGCACCTTTTATGTGACTATTAACATAATAGTTGTGCTCTCGAATTCACACGCAAGTGGGTTCAAAGAAGGTATTGATTTTGAGTGCCGGAGTTTAAATTTGTTCCCTTTTTTAATCCCACCACCTTTCTATGGGCACCAGAAGTCATGTGGATCCATTATCTAAAGTGTCCCACTGTTGTTCTCTGAGAATGAGGCAGAGTTTGGTGTTCACCCCTGAATTGGCCAGTGACAGAGACCTGAGCAAAGGTTAACCAGATGCCATGGTCAGAAATTTCCATGAAAAGGAGGTGGATCTTCCAGTGCACAACTGATGACTGATGGGAAAAGGTGTGGTGTGGAGTTGGCTGCCACGTGATGTGGCCAGAGGTCAAGCTCCTTCTGGGGATACTGCAGTGCTGGCCAATCTGTTCTATCCTTTGGACCGTTGACCTGACCACTTTCATCCTGACCTCTGCCTAACTGGTACTTATAGAAACAGAGTAGGTAGGTTCTGATCATTTGCTTTATTCTAAGTTTTATTAAACGTAGAATCATCTCAACAGCTCACGTGGTCTCAGCAACTGCCTTTCATTTCACCTGCAATTTTGTAAGGACCAGTCATTAATACTGGCCATGGACCATCAGTACCGGCAAAAAGAAAGGGAGACATTTTGCAGAATCCTTTCTCCTCCTCCTGTCTCTTCGCATACCAGGCCTTTCACCTGATCCAGGTCATTCCTCCCTGACTGAGAGCCAGCCCAGCATAGAAAGCAACCCCTGAACAAGCCATCAGACGGCTTAAGCTCTCCCACTTACTGGCTGTGTGTCCCCAGGGAGATCTCAGAGCCCCTCTGAGCTTTAGGTTCCTCATCTGGGAAACGTTAATGAAGCCCACCTCTTCGTGTAACTGGGAACATCACCCAGTCTAATGCCTGAGACTTGCAGTGCTTAGTATGTGCAGAACTCACTGTATACTATTTCCTTCCCCTGCCTTCTCTTCTCCCTGCTTCGGTGCCCCCTCGAGTTCCAGGTCAGGTTCAGTCTTCTCCTTGCAGATTCTTACACCCAGGGCTCAGTGAATGAACTCACCTGCCCGACCACTACAGTGGTGAGTGCGGCCGAACAAAGACGGAACCCGCCTGCAGCGGGCAGGTGCAGCCCTCTGTCCATCTGGGCGCATTGCTGAGGCTTGAGTGGTCACTGAGCTCCCCGGCCCGACAGGTCGGCGCCCCGGGGATTGCGGTTTCCTCTCAAGTCCGTGAACTCACACTGCCGTCTCCGTTCTCGACCCCAGGTTTTGTCCCCCAGCCAGTTCCTGGTCACCGTCCCGGTGAGGGGCCTGGCCGGGTACAGGGAGGCGAGGGAGCGACGCTGGCGATGCTATACCCTACAGGGGGCCAGGCTGTCCTGCCCCTTGCGGGACCCGGAGGGCCTGCAGCAGTGGCTGGAGGTGGAGCAGTTTATGAAGAGCCTGTGGCAGTGGCATGAGGCAGACGTGAACATTGAGGGAGACATTGTGCCCGCCAAGGTCCTCCAGGTGTTCCGGAAGCTGGTAGAAAATGCAGTTGGAACCTGTCATCTCTCAGGTGAGCGGACCAAGAAAAGGACAAAGGGCAATTTCTGGCATTTGCCTTTTGCTTTATAAAACCTCTGCTCAGGGATGCCTGGGTGGCCCAGTCCGTTGAGCGTCTGACTCTTGGTTTCAGCTCGGGTCGTGGTTCTGGGGTCCCGGGATCGAGCCCCGCATCGGGCTCCCTGCTCAGCATGGAGTCTGCTTGGGATTCTCTCTCTCTCCATCTTGCTCTGCCCCTCACACTCATACTGTCTTTCTCTCTCTCTCTCAAATAAATAAATAAAATCGTGAACAAACAAACAAAAAACCTCTACGTAGGTGTTACCTGAAGCTCGTGCCCCTAGATTGAGACATTAACCATGTGCTCCTTACATCTGTTCACTCCTCACAGTATGAATTAGCTCTTTTTTCTGCTTTGACACCGAAGAGTGGAATTCGTACAGCACCCGCTTGGATTTCCGTGGATTACTTCTCCGGCAGAGACATGATGGGCTTTGGGTTGTGTGCCCTTTCCTGGACGTTAATTTAAAAACTTAGGTACACTTTTTAAAAAGCAAAATACTTGCAAACCACAGGTCTTTGTTACTAGCACATTTCTGTAACACCCTCCAACTGACTGCCGTCCCCCAGTGTATTGAGATGCCACATTTGGAAACCACTGACTTGTGCCAAAACACAAAAATGGGAGGCCATAAAGAACTGATTAAGTTTGACAGTCCTCAAATCTTAAATTGTACGCTACCATGTGGCATGTGTGTACATTCGCTCACACACACATTTTGTTCCCACAGAATAAAAAAGTGTATTTCACACTGGGAAAAAGTGGCGGATTTCCTTAACTGTAAAAGAGTATTTGTAAACCAGTAAGAAAACATACAAGTAGACCAACAGAAATAATGACCAAAAAAAAAAAAAAAAAAAAAAGACTCACAGAAAAAGAATATAAACAGGTAATAGTAAAAAAGTGGGGAAAAGGGGCACCTGGGTGGCTCAGTTGGTTAAGCGTCTGCCTTCCGCTCAGGTTGTGATCCCAGGGTCCTGGGATCGAGCCCCGCATCGGGTTTCCTGATCAGCGGGGAGTCTGCTTCTCCCTCTCCCTCTGCCTCTATCCCTGACTCATGCTCTCTCTCTGTCTCTCAAATAAATAAATAAAATCTTAAAAAAAAAAAGTGGGAAAAAATGTTCCATCTAACGTATTTCAAGCAATGTGCATTAAAATACCTAATAGATTGACGGAGATGAAAAAGTATGATCATGCTCAGGGTAAGGGTGAGTGTGGTACAAAAGGCCTTTTCATACATTGTTCTTGGAAGTGTAAATTGGTGCCTACTTCTTAAAGGGCGATTAGTATGTTTTTATTTTTGTAATGTGCTTAACTTGACAATTCAAGAATTCTAGTTCTAGAACTATATTCCTGCAGACGAAAACAAAATATGCACGAGGACGTCCACGGCCATAGGCTCTAATAGTAAATAACTAGAAATAATGTCAGTAACAAAGGGAAATTGTGAAATAAATTGTACTACGTTTGCCTTTAAGAATGGGGTACGTGTGTGTACACACGGAGTTGTGAAAAATCCTTGTGTTGGAAAATGAAGGGAAAAACCAAAGTGCTGAACAGGACGCGATCCCACACATGTGTAGAAAGGAAAAGATTTGAATGTGCTTTTACCTGTCTGGACGGAACTGTTCTGAAAGTTTCCATAATGGAATTAGCCCACGTTTAATAGATTCTTACCACGTATAGGATGCTTTTGTGGAAAATGTCCTGCGCATAGCAACCCTGGAGAGTCGGAGTTATTTTTCTGCCTGTTTTATGGATGAGAGCACTGAGGTTTAGAGAGGGCTGAACTAACAACATGCGGAAGGTCACACACCAAGTGAGCAGAGCCAGGGCAGAGGCGGGGTGTGGGTGGGGCAGGCTGGTTCCAGCATGTGCTGACTTCTTCACTTTGAAACACTGGTAATAGTGAAAGTGCAAATGAGAGCTGGCAAACGGGCCAGGTTGGTGAGATGCTTTCAGTAAATAATGCCAGGGTGCCAGACGTCATCATGTTCCTGTCTGGGCAGCTCTGATGAGATGCAGACTATAAGCTCTTTATCACACCCCGGCCAAGGAGAGGAATGTTTTCCTTTTGAACAGCTTAACAGGATTAATGAGTGAGCTTCCATTTTCTTCTCTGAACAAACAAGAGAAAAATAATCGATCCCGATTCAAGACCGCTCATCCTTATCTGTAATGAAGGCAAACAAACAAACAAAAAACGACTGTGTATCTTTTGAAAGAAGGGGGAACAGATTAGCAAGGAATTCTAGTACAGGAGCTGAAAGATGCTCCCAGATGCATTTGTTTTCTCTCTCTCTCGTTGCCTGGTTGGGAGAGGCAGTGGGGGCTTTTTCCCACTCATTCGACACTTCCCACCAATGGCTATGACACACTTTTGAAGTATTTTATAATTACAAGGGCTTGGGATGACAAATACGTCTGAGGCTAGACTAGCTTAATGGATGGTGGGAACAATGCCATCCAAGAGACTGGGAGTCAGGTAAGGGACGGGTTAAGCTGAACTCCACCAGAGGCAGGTGAATGAGTCAGGGGAGGACGCCGTCCTCAACAAGGTCAGGACATCTGGGCAGAATGGAGGGGGCGTAGAAGAATGGTTGGATCTCATTTTTACTAGCAAATACTCCATCTTTGTCTTCTGTGTCTCTTTTCTTCAGTTGAGGCTTCTGAAAAGAATTTATTACTTTCAAAGAAAAGGTGCCGTAAAAGCCTGGGGGCGGGGAGGGGGCGGGCGGAGAAAGGAAAAAGCAACACTCACCCACCATGAGATTTTCTAGCAACGTTTCTATCAATAGTTACTCAGCTAATTGTCTAGTTTTGCCATGAACACCCCACCCTTGGGGTGCTACCGACCTGTGGCAGTTGCCCCACCAGGCGCAAGGAGCTGCTCGCCGCCACTGTTCCCCAATTCCTCCTTTGAATGTTCGCCTGAGCCAGGCTTTCTCTTCTCACCGCCCCTTTGTCATTTCCCACCAGGTAAGGTCAGCATGCTGACACACCACTCTGCAGTTTGGGTTGCCGTGGAAACAGCCACGTGGCAGGTGGAGCTAGAGCTGGTCCCCGCAGTGGAGATCCCTACTGCCTGGTCTGAGAAAGCTCGGTGGCCTCCCTGTCTGCGGCGCTGGCCTTCCCGACAGAGAGCGGAGTGCATCAAGGTATCGGGGAGCCGGGGGCCCAGCTCGCCAGAGCAGAGGCGCTCACAGCTTACCCACCCCCAGCATCGCCGACTGTCAGCCAGCTTGGGAAGGGAAAAATGAGGTTTCACTCGATCAGCGGTGCTCCAGGTGGGGGCCCCACAGTCTGCCGCGGCCCCTGAGAGCCTGTTAGCAATAAGGATTCCCGGGCCCTGCTCGGGACCATGAGAGCCCATGGGCAGGGCCCGGCAGTCTGTGTGTGAAGCTCTCCAGGTGCAGGCTCAGCTTGGAGAACCAGTGCCTGTGGGAAAGTGGACACCGTCTCTCCCGTTCCCTGTGCACAAGGAAGGGGGTTTGCCCTGAGCCCCCCCCCCCGCGTCCCCACGTGGGAGGTTCTGCCTGCCTGGTGGTAGGTCCGCACCCCCCCCCCGCCCAAACCAGCGTAGCGGATGGCTTCAGTGCTGGCTTTCTACTCTGGCAAGCAGCCTCCTCCTCATTTTCCTGGTGTTTTTCTCTTTTCCCAGTCATTTGGGTTTGCCTTGCTGGCCCGTTCGCAGTATCACTGGCAGCTGAGCTTCCTGCAGGCCGAGCAGGTGCTGTTGGAGCAACTGGACGAGGACGGGGGCTGCCGCGGCAGGTGTCTCCAGGCCCTGAGGCAGATGAAGGAGGACGTCTGGTGTCCGGGAAAGAGGCCGGTCATCACGTCCCACCATCTGCAGGTGAGCGGGCGCGCCCCGCCTTGGCGTGGGTCCTCTCTGCGTGCCCCGCGGGGCCCGGCCAGAGCCACTCACACCGGGTGTGTGTGTATGCGACCGATTCGAGAGGGGGCCCTAGTGTCCCTAGTGTCCCCTAGTGTCCCTATGGGCCATCCCATATGTTACTGCGTGCTCACCAGTGAGATCCCGACAGCCGGGCTGTATGTGTGCCCAGGACAGCCCTGCCCAGGCTGAACGGCCTCCGCCTCCTCCCTTCCCTGCCCCACTTGCCCTCTTTCCGCTCCTTTCTTTTGGTTGTTTCCTCTTCTCTCTCCGTCTCTCCCCTCCACTTATTTCACTCACCAAACCAACGTGAGTGCCCACTCTGTGCCGGAAACCGCGCTGAGGTTCAGCACCAATTACACCGTGTGGCCTGCGCCCCTGAGAAGCCTACAGTCTGGGGAAATCTTGCGGATGGCTCGAACCTCAGGGGAATTCATGTTTCCCCTGGTGCTAGGACTCCCTGGGTCCCCAGTCTAGCCAGGTACAGCCACTGCCCCTCGGGGGTGGGGGTCGGGGAGGGGGGGCCCCCAGGAAAAGGGGCTTGCCACGTGAGCATGGTTGCGGACCTGAACTCGTGGGTTCCAAATGCTCAGGCAGGGATTTCCCCTCACTCTGCAGCACCTGCCTCCCCTTGTCCCAAACCCAACAACACACATTCATGAGTGCCTTTACTCACTTGCTCAGCAAATGTTTATTGAGGTTACCGTGGGCCAGACACCGGCTGTGAGCGCTACCCCTGGAGGTCCAAGGTGAGCAAACACAGAAGTGGTTCCTGCTACCTTGGAGCTGATGGTTCAGCGGGGGAGATCGGCAGTCAGGTGGTCCCCCAGGTGCACGTGGAGTCACACAGCATGGGGAGCACCAGGAAGGACGGGCCCAGAGCAGCAGACCCTGACCTGGGCTGGGACATCAGGGGGTCCCCCTGGGGAGGGAGCCTTCCATCACACCCTCAACTCCTCTTTTGCAAATTCCCAACTGCACATGGTGAATGGGACGTTCCCGGAACACAGCTGTGTGTTGCTCTGAGGTCAGGAGGTGGCCGACTTAGAGACAGCACAGCCCAAGCCTAGCTGGGGTCTATCCGGGAGCTTCGTCCCTTCTCCCTGACCTTTGCACAGGTGAGCACAGGCCGCCTGTCTGTGCGGTGCCTTCCCGCTTGTGTCCCCTCTCGTTCAGGGGTCCGCCATCTTCTGGCCCTGGATAACTCTTCTAGCTCCAATGTAAGCTATCCAAGGGCACCTACTATTGCATCCTTAGTATCTCTCCCGGTGCTGTGTACATAGTAGTTGCTCAATATATAATTATTGAGCAAATGAATGAATGCCTTCACATCATATTCAACTTTTCCCCCATGAAGGCAGTAGTCTTTGCTTGGCTTTCTTCTCTTTCCTAATAACCTGTCCTCCTTGACCTGCCCAAGAATCTGTTAATATCTCATTTGCACACACTGGGGCCTTTCTCTGGAGTTTCAACATTCTCAACATGTGCCCACGCACATTCCCCTAAAAATACCCACCGGTTCTCGAAGGCATGTGCTTCCTGAGGATAGGCTAGCTCATTCTGCGGGTTTGGCTTCTTTCTTGCTTGCCTTTCTATAAGCCACACTAGGAGGAGTCAGAGCTGAGAAGCAAACTCCATTGTATCTCATATTGGACCTCATGATCTTAACCATTGACTTTACTGCCTCACAATTAAGACAGATGGAAACATATTAAGTGACATGAATATTTTAGACAAGATTGAATAGGGCCACCCTGGGCCTCCCAACCCTTGACTGCTGTCAAAACTGCATTACACCCAAGGATTTACTTTTAGTCCAGTGGCTTCTCAATCACTAGAGGATTTTAGGGCAACTCCTTAAATGTGCTTTGTTTCGGTTCTCCCTAACTCCCCAACAGGGCACAGAATTATGCATTCTCAAGAACGGGCATTTGAAAAGGGGGGTTATTTGTTGAGAAGGACAGGACAGACAGAAGCACTACTAGCTGCCTGTTCTAGTGTTCCATCCTTGGTCCAAGATGCCCTCACCTTTAGACACAGTGATGGACGTGGCTAGTGACAATGTGACACCATCCCGGATGATGGCTTGAGTGGGCGGGATCCTTGCCAAGCCTTCAGTCTGGGGAAAGTAGAAGAGCTGGGTTGCAAAACAGCCTTAGGAAGGATGTGCCAGTCATCATCACCCCACCTTCAGTCTGACATGGTCTGATGAGGTTCTCACCTCGTCCCCAAAGTGGCTCTCCCCACAAAGCAACTCCGTGTGAACAAGAGCTCATCCTTCATTGGCTTATTTATTCCTAAAACCCACTCAAAGACACAGGGGCTTGATTATAAGAGGCCTAACCACTTCGGGTTTGCTTAGGGAGATAAAAGCTTAACTACAAGAGGAATTACAACACTTTTTTTGTGTCTAGGCTATCTTGATAGTATGACATTATTTCCAACTCATTTATTTCACACAATGTAATCTAAATCAAAACATACACAGTATCTTGCCATGAAGCTAAAACTGCTCTTTTCCTTTTCAGTAAAGACTGTATTTTAAAAATGCTCAACATCCAAATCATAACATTAGTGAATTATTTCCCTTAGTCCCTAAACATTTTTGACTGCCTCCCATGGGCCAGCTCCTCTGCTGGATGCTAGTGACATAATAGCCATTAAAATAGGTATTGGCCTCTTTCACAGAGTTCACAACCTCGTACGGGATCGCATACATAAATACAGAGATGACAACTCCTGTGATCATGGGCGTTCTGAGGAGTATGTGGTGAAGAGAGTGTCTAATGGTCTCATAGGAGAATTTGATCTGACAGACGAGTGTCCTGGACAAAGTGGAGGAAGGAAGTATGTTCCACACAGCAGAGGTCGGATGTGAGCGAAGTCCCTCTGTGGTAGCAGAGAGCATGATACGAGGCCAGTGGGGCTGGAAGGAGAGAGCAAGGGAGGATGAGCGCAAGCCAAGGCTGGAAGGGACGGAAGGGACCAAACCTTGTACACCAAACCCTGTGAAGGATTGTGGTCTTTCATTAACCAACCAGGAGAAGGCTTGAAAGTCTTTCAGACAAGAAGAACCATGGATTTATATTTCAAAAAGATCACATTGGCTGCAGCATGGGTGGTGACGGGGTGGGGACCAGAGTGGGGACAGAGGTCCAGGTGAGGCGGAAGAGGAGGAAGCTGGTGGAGATGAACAGACACGGGTAGATTTGAGAACCACTTCAGAGGACTGGCGGGGTTGATGATGCTGGTGAGGGAGGGGTGACTCCCGGCTTGTGTGTTGCGTGACTGGTTGGACAAGCAGCTCTGGAGCCGCACCGGGTCTGTGGCGAGGGGGAGGCCATGAGTACAGCTGGGACATGTTGACAGAGATAACTTTCAGATTCCCAAGAGATAGCAGGTGAGGAAGAGGTCAGAGGAGAAGTCTGGCTTGGAGAAAGAAAATTATGAGTGACTTCTATGTGTTTGCTGGGGATTCAAGCTGCCGAGGAAGGAAGCAAGAGAGAACGAAAAAAAGAGGGGGTGGAACCAAGCCTCCAAAACTCCAGCACTGAGGCAGGTCAAGGGGATAACATGCCAAGGAGTAGCTGTAGTGCCTGGAGAAATCCAGGGAGCACAGTGGCTTGGAAGCCGGTGAAGAATGACTCAAGAGGGAGGCTCTGAGTGGGAGAATTCGATTCTGCTGGAGGGTCAGGTAAGGCCAGGGCCGGGCAAGTCCTGTTGGACTTAGCAACATGGAGATCATTGGACCTTACAGACAGCAGCTTCTGAGGCCTCAGGGCAGAAGAATCCGTATTGCAGTGGGTTAAGATGGGAACCAGAGGAGAGGAAATGACGACAGATGATGGAGCTGATTGCACTTGCAGAGAGGTGAGAGGTTGGGAGGGGGGTGGGGCAGGAGAGCTTAGAACAGTTTCAAGAGGGAAGTCAGTCCCACACAGCTCCTGGAAGGAGGGATCCCAAGCCTTGCCTGGGGTTCACCTGGCTAGGTGGGGTGGTCAAGCAGAGAAGAAGAGAGGAAGAGGCTTGTGTAGGCAGAACTGTCTAGAACTGTCCTGGTTGCTGCCATGAGAGTTTCCATTTTCCCTATAAAGTAGGAGGCAAAGGCATCTGCCCGGGGTCGGGGATCGCAGGTTTAAGGAGAGTGCTGGTCACTGGAAATGTCAGTGGCGAGAGAAACAATGACAAAGGAGACCAGCAGGCTGAGGCCGAGAGCCCACCTGAGGGTGGGGATCATGAAATCATGGCGGAGCCTCCTTGCCCTGGGTGACTCCCTCCTCCCTCCTTCCAAGGCCACGTGAGCTCAGTAACATTTCCGAAGACACTCTCCCCCGTGGCCTGGAACGATGTCTGATACCACCTCTTCCTTCCACAGACCGTGCTCTTTTGGACTTGTGAGAAATACCCACACTTGAAGGACTGGCGGGTCTTCAGCAAAGCCTTCCTGCGCCTGGTGAGGAAACTGCACAAGTGCGTGAGCCAGCACTTTCTGAGGCACTATTTCGTGCGAAAGAGCAACCTCCTCCAGTCTGCCAACTCGGGCGACCTGGACGCCGTGGCCCAGAGACTGGCGCTCTTCCTGAAGAACCCCCAGATCAGCCCGCCCTGAAGCTGCCCCTGCCTGGGAGGCTCTCAGACGTTTTATCCTGCCTTGACCTCATTCTCTGTAGGATCCTGTCCAGGAGAGAAGCAACCTAGGGCACAGGAAATTACGCGGACCCAGGAGCGCTTAAGAGGGGAAAGCTGCACCCCAAGATGTCTGACCCAGGCCTCCCTGGAGCCAAGCAAGTGTTCCAGCCCTCACTAGCTACCTCCCTTGGGGACAGCTGTCCTCAGGCTTCCCCAAGCCACTGATTCTGAGCTGATGACAGGCAGCACTGAATGTATTCTGCCTTGCTCAGGCTCCGACTGCCTGCCCGAGAGGACAGAGACGAGAGCCACTGGAAGGCCAGGTACCAGCCTGCGGCCCAGGAGTGAGTCTCCAGCCCACTGGCCCCGATTCTTCTTCTTATTGTCCATTGGTCAAATGCAGCTGTGAATATACCTTTCTCCGAGCCGGGCTGTCAGCCGGGGGTACTGCGCTGGGGCCCTCATCAGGGAAAAACACTGGATCAACAAAGTGTTACTCATTGGTTGGTAGCCGGCATTTGCCTCCTGGATGGGCCCCACCCAACACGCTAACTAAATGATTGCGTCTGATGGCTTGGCACGCCTGTGTGGACCCTGCTGCCCTCCAGTTCTCCTGAACTGTGGTTCCGGGCTTGTGGTTGCGTCCGCTTCCCCGCTGTCCTCCAAGTAGGGAGAAGGTGGTTTCGCTGACTAGTGTGCGTCAAAGATGAAAGTGCAGCTCTGTTTGCCAGGGGCTCCCCTTGCCTTGCGCCCCGGGGCCGGGTATTCTTGGAACGGACTTGGTGTCACTCACCTCTCACTACCTGCCTTTGCTCACTTCACTCTGTGGTAACTCTATGCTCATCAGGCACCGGGAATACCGCCAAGAGCGAAACTGACAAAGGACGTGCCTGGTCGGGGGGCGGCGCCTAATGGAGACAGGAGGTGAATGACAGATAACAGACACGATTATTACAAATTGTAGCAAGTTGTCCTGAAGGAAATAAACAGAATATTGAAACAGAGCCACAGAGAGCTCCTGGAAGGATGAAAATGCAAACAGCCGAAGGGGAAGGGAAGCAGGGAAGCGGAGCGAGGGCAGGCTGGGAGGGGCTGGAATAAGTCCGATCATGTGGCCTGGTAAAGCTGGTAAGGAATTTGTTATTTTATTCTAAAGTCAAAGCGCCCTGACATTTGGCCTTTCCCAGAGCAGTAGGGGATCCTAATCTGATTTGCATTTTGTTTCTTTGTTTATGACTTGCATTTGAAATGCCCATTCCAGGGGCTGCATAAAGGGGGCCTAGGGACCCACACAAGAGTCTGAGGCACCGAAGGACAGCAAGCCCCTCATTTTGAATTTCACTGACGTCCACAGGGCCACACCCCGTGCAGCACACGAACCGGGAACGCTGAGAGTTTGGGCAGGTCAGCGGTTTCTCCTGGCACTTATATATGCTTCTCAATTCAAGGGAACCTTTTATTCCTTAGAACATTTTCCCCAAGTACGTAACACTGAGATTTCTTTTTTTTTAAATTTTATTTTATTGTTATGTTAATTGTAACACTGAAATTTCTAAAAGCATGAACTACTTACTGACTTTTTAAAAGAAAAGGCACATTTGAAATTGAAATATTTTTACAAAAATATTGTAACCATATGCTGGGGGCCCTGGGCTATCACATAGGAAATCATGGTTTTAAAATGAAAAAAAAAAAAAAGTTTATAGAATAAACTTTTATAGAATAAGTTTATAATTTTTGAAAACATGAAACAATGAGCAAACCCATGTTTTCTTAAGTCATCAAAGCATGCATTCAAATTCTCACATTCTAGGGCCTTGGGAAACATCATTTTTGAGAAGGTAGCAAATAATTTTTTTAAATGATGTAAACAACTGAGCAAGGTTATTTTTTATTGTTGTTGTTGGGGGAGGAGGGGCAGAGGGAGAGGAAGAGAGACTCTTAAGCAGGCTCCATGCCCAGCCCAGAGCCCAACATGGGGCTTGATCTCATCATCCTGAGATCATGACCTGAGCCAAAATGAAGAGTTGGATTCTTAATGGATTGAGCCCCCAGGCGCCCTGATGCAAGTTTATCAAATGCCAAGAAGTGAAAGTTGGCTGGACCATTGATTGGAAATGTGTGTATGTGTGTGGGGAGGAGTGGGACTGACATCCTCCACAGACCAGATTCCAGTAGATTCTTGCCCCCACCTTTCCCTATCCGCCTGGGGTCTCTGAAGGAAGCGGGGTTATCTGTCGATTCCTGGGTGTTCCTCTGCTGCGCAGCAGAGGGCAGTAGAGGACTGCCCATGAAAAGAGCCTCTTTCCCACCCATACCCCACCCATACCCCTCAGAGCCCAGTAGGTGGCACCCTCCTCAGCCCATAACTTAAACCTGGCTTCTGGCCGAAGGGTTTCAGCTGATGCTCAATGACTGACCTTTCCTGCCACGTTGGCCAGCAATTACAGTCTCCGTGCTTAAAGCTCAGACTTTCAAAGGGAGCCCCTGAGAGAGGAGTCCGTCTGCTCTGTTTGCAGGAACAGAGTGCCTGGCTCTGAAAAGTCTGATAGTATTCCTTTATTCTGGTCAGTATTTTTTTTTTAATTCTCCAAAAGACCTTTTGTTTTAGAGTGGAATGGTTGGTAGTCAGCCCCTGTTGTTGACCTGCTTGCCTTTGCGTCTCAGCTCTGACACAACTGTATGCCCTTGGCAAGTTGTTCACCCCTCTCTACGTCCCCATTTCTTCATGGGTATGGTTAGGGGCTGGATTGTGTCCCCCGTGCCCCGGCCAAAATTCGTAGGTGGAAGCCCTTTACCGCCAGCACCTCAGAATCTGTGTTTGGAGATGGGGCCTTTAAAGACACCTCTTTAGGTTTTAACACCAGGTTAAAATGAGGCCGTGAGGGTGGGCCCCGATCCACCAGGACTGACGTTCCTGTGGAGAAGGGGCGGAGGCACCTGGGGCAGGGGTGCAGGGAGGAAGGGCCCTCCGCAGGCCAAGGAGTGAGGCCTCAGGAGAAGCCAGGACTGCCAGCACCTTGATCTCGGGTTTCCATTCTCCAGAACCGTGAGGAAATAACGTTCTGTCGTGTAAGCCATGCGGTCTGTGGTATTTTGTGATGGCGACGCTGGGCAACGAATCCAGGCCTGAGGAGAGAGGAGCTACCTCGCTGCTCTGAGGAGGGGGCTAAGCAGAATAATGGGTGTCAGAAGCTCCTCATTTCAGAATCTGGCACATAGTAACCGTGGAACACGTGCTTAGCATTTTAGACGCCAACTCGCCATGGCCATTGCCCCATCCCTGCCAGGCCTGGTAAGGACCCCCACCCCATGTATAAATCCTTCACGAATAGGCTAGAAGCCATCGAAGGAAAACATGCGCAGGATTCCACCCCGAATTCCACAAACCCATCTTGTCCTTTGTCCCTCTTGCTCACCAGAGAAGTAGCTCCGGACTTCTCCTCGTGTGTTGGAACCGTGCTGCCCAATGTGTCAGGGACGGCTTTCATTTAGCTCCTGTCCTACCCTCCATTTCCTCCTGCAAGTGTCGCCCCCTCTTCCCCCCTTTCACCATCCAGCTTCCTGAGCTGTTGGACACGTGGCCCTGCTTCCTTGCCTCCAAACACCTTTTTTGTGTGAAAGCTACCATATATGTTGGATTTGAGAGTGTTTCAAGAACAATAAAACAGACACCAATAGTCACCATCTGGGTGAAAAATAGCATTTGGCCAGTACTATAGAATTCTAGGTGCCGGTCCTCCCCCTAGCCCCCTCACTCCCCAATTTTGTGTTAGTCATTCTGCTGCTTTTCTTTATAGTTCGACTACCTATCATATTTCATTGAACCTAAGCCCCCCACAATTGTGAGGCGAGTCTTTATTTCACGTCTAAGAAAGAAAAAGTGCTGCTAAACGTCATTGCAAGACGCAGCTGCTTATAAGATGCATCTCCCCCTCC